CCGTCGCCAGATTCTTCACCTTCTCTGCTGAAGTTCTACTTTTCTTGTATTAGGCCTCCCTGAGGCTGTTCCCGGTCTTGAGTTTGGTTGTATTGATGTGCTTCTTTACTTTATGCATAATAAGTTGCATAATAAGTTGTCCGCAACATTTTAAAATAAAAAATGGTTAAATTTAACATTTTGCCAAAAAAAAAAACTAAAACTCACGAAAAACTGGATTTAGACGTTAGAATGCGTGAAAGAATATAAAAACAACAATATTTTGTATTGAGATATATTTTTTTTGGCTAACATAACTATGATCAGTTTTTGTTTTTATGTTTTAACTTTTAAGCGATCAAACTAGTCTTTGCGCGCGGATATTGGTTTTATATTGTTATAAATTAATATTGTATTCATTTTTCATGATTATTGTTATATATTTTAAATTTGTTACCATATAACTAATTGTCTTCAAAAAACCCGGATCGAATCGAGTAATATAGTTACTTTTCCTACAAATATATGAATTCATTGGTTATTGGATATTTTTAGATTCATATACATCATAACCAAATCCATGTGAACTTGGGAGAACCCAACTCAAAACACACCCAGAAATTTATAATACTCGAACGGACCTACTTTCAAAATAAATAAAAAATTGATATCCGAAAGAAACAACACATACATGGATACTTTTAGATTCATATACATCATAACTGAATCTACGCGAACTTGGGAGGACCCGACTCAAAAAACACCCTAAAATTATAATACTCGAGCGGGTCTAGTTTCAAAATTCAAAAAACGGATACCCAAAAGAAACAACACGTACATGAACGATGCTCGAATGCTCATGCCTAACTAATTATGTAAACAAATAAAAAATTCTTTGTTGACCGTTTTGAAATATTGTTACGAATGGAGAAATTTCATTTAAATCTTTCGAGTTACTATAGTTAACATGTAAAATAAATAAGGTCGAATTATTACAGTAAAGATAATTAATGAAATAGTTAGAAAGAGTGAAAAAAGGAATGAAAGAAAATGAAATATAACATTTTAAAATAGGTAATTTATTTTTTTACTTTTGTAATAAATGATGTCTAATTATTTGGATAAGATAATATATGAAATGTTTAGAACTAGGTGTAGGGCTGAGCAAAAAAATCGAACCCAAAAATCCGAACCGAAACCGACCAAATAAAAAGGAATCCGAACCGATCCAAACCCAATATAAATACCGTATAGATCTTGTTTTACGGTATTTTGGGTTATGGGTTTTCCCGAGCTTAAATGGATATCCCAAAGACCCCAAAATTTTAAAATTTCAAAAAACTTATACCATATTTTATCTCAATTTATAATATGTTTCTAAAACACATTAAGATATTATTGAGTACCTACAATAATTAGTTATTACATGAATCATTAACCCAAATACTTAGTCTAATATATAGTTTAATTTGGTTAGTATTTATGTTTATGTTTGACATTACATTTGAAGTTTAGTTACCAATAAATTTGTTTTGAAGCTTAAACAATTTTGTTGTTATTTAAATTTTAAATAGTATATTTTATGTTAATAGAAATGTTAGTTGTTAACTTTAATTATTTATGTTTACTTATGTATGATTTTCGTTAATACAAGAATTTGGGATGATATATTTAGTGTTGTCGCGTATAGTTCAAAAAAAATCTTATATGATTGATAGACGAGTTTCACAATATTACTTTGAAGGACAATAATATGGTTTGAAAAAGCTAAAATACACAAATTTATTAAAACGATTAAAATATATTGAATTTAATAGAGTATAAATTAGTATTTTTAGAACAGATAACCCGATTATTATTCGAAACTGAAACTATTTTGAGTTTAATCGGATCGTGGACATGTTACTAAACATGAACTGAACCCAAGATAACCTGAACCAAATTCGACCAGAATTTTCATAATGTCCGAATGGGGATAAAATTCATGAACTCGGAAATCCGAAATCCAAAATCCGAATAAACCCAAAGAAAACCTGATTGGAACCCCGAGTGCCCAGCCCTAACTAGGTGATTGGCTCGCACGTATATGCATAATAATTTTACAAATATTTTAGATTAAATACACTATCAATTGAAATAAATTAATGTTCACACATTCCAAAATATTTAATAAAAATTGAATAATAAATTATTTATATATACAAATTTTTATCCTAACATAAATAATTTTTATCACGTAAGATAAAATTAAAAACACTAATATTTTGAAATATTTAGTAATTAATTAACATTGAATTTTTTTTTACATATGATTAAGTTTGTCAATTTAATAAATTTTTTTTTTAAAAATAATATAAGCACTAGTATACAATATATATATATAAACATGGATTTATATTTTAAAATTATTAAAAAACTAATGTAAAATATATTTTGAATAACCTAAAATAAACTATTTCTATATAAGGATGATTATCAAATCAATGAATTTTTTTTTTAATTTATGGTTAGTTATATATTAAAAATATAATTTTTCATTAACGTTAATAAAGACATTATCATAATATAAACTATGGGGGTTTTCCAAAACCAACCTAAAAATTCAAGTCAAACACAAAACCAACCTCTTTTTTTTCATTACTATTCACCATTAAAAAGACCAAACCCTCCTCATGTTTTTCAACTATTTACAAAATTGCCATTTTTATATAATATTATATTAATTTTGAAAATGCCAAAAAAAAATATTACACCCTAAATATTTCTCCTTATTTACAACAATGTCATTATCATCAATATCTCTAACCACCATGAACCACCATTGATGAGCTCTTAAAGCTCAAGATATGAATTGTCAACCACTTGTGTCACTTTCTAAACCAACAATACTTCATTTCCTCTCATTTCCTCTCTATTTTCATCTAAACAATCCTCATAACTCTCATTTTTATAAACAAAAACTTCATAGTTTCGATTATATTCACAAGTGAATCATAAAAGGTGTTTCTTTTGCTCATATTTGGATTCTGGACGGTGGAAAAGCTTGGAAACAAGCTTTAAACCGGTGTCAAGGTAACTATTTACATGTTTTTGTCATATCTCTGATCTGTATCGCGAAAGTAGACTGTATTATATGTCTACACTTACGTGTAGACTTACGATGCAGTCTACTTGTCAACGCACAGGTTACTTTGCAATTGACCAAAATAATTTTTTTGTAATGTAGACCTACAAGTACGTCAACGTCTTTACCTTTGAAACCAAAAACAAAAAATTTGATAGACTTACTAAGAAATCTACATAAAAGATGTTAGATTGCATTTGACCAAAATTTTGACTTACCATAGTAGACTTTCTTGGAAGTCTACACTTTGTAGACTGCTAGGGAAGTCTACGGAAGGTCAGCTTTGCATTTGACCAAAACTTTAACTTCGTTGAATAGGTTTCTTTTGTATTTGACTAAAATATTTAGAAACTGACTAAAACTTACTTTACGTGTAGACTTCATATGCAGTCTACAAATCTTAGGAAAAAAAAATAAACTGCATATGAAGTCTACTATTTTATGTTGGTCAATTGCAAATCTAACCTGTCGGGTTATAGTGTTAACTTTTACTGCAGTCTACAATTACGTAAACATTTAGTTTTGTCTACTAGTAGAAAGTCAACTTTGGTCAATTGCAAAACTAACCTCTTTCAAACAAATTTGAAAATGTAGACTGCATAGTAAGTCTACTTCTAAAAGTCAAACTCTGAACGAATTCTGGTCAATTGAAAAACTAACCTTTTTAAAAATGTAGACTAAAAAATAAGTCTACTCGTATAAAATCACATCTTTTTTCAAATACAGAAAGTAACCCGTGAATTTGGCAATTGCAAAAATCAACCTAAACGTAGACCTAATTAGCACTCTACAAAATGTAAACTGAATAAAATGTCTACCCGTCTGTAGACTGAATATGTAGTCTACCTAGAAAAATATATCAAAAGTGGATTTGTGTATTATTCATTAATTTTTTTCAAATTTTTTTTTATGAAAGTGTGTGTTAGTTAATCATAAGGGTCTTGAATGATTTTCAGAAGATAATCTGTTATAATTAGGAAGTTATCAAATTTTTTGTTTGTCTATGTTGTTAGCTTAAAATTTATAGACGTACTTGTAAGTCTATGATATAATTTTATCAAACATGAAATTTTGGTTTGCTAATTATGTAAACCGTATTGTTTTGCAGGAAATGGTTCAACTACATGTTGTATATGGAGAATGGGTGGTGAAAGACTCTTTGTGGGAGTTTGAGGTCGATAATCGGAAAGGAGGGAGAATGTTCCTTGTTCAGATTCATAACAGCATAACAGCATTTTAAAAATTACGACACTTTCTCTAACGGTTTACAAGAAAATGTATATTCGTTCTGTTTGGTTTATACATTTGATATTAACTCATGCTACATTGAGTTCATAAATAATAAAACTCTAGTTTACATGGCATTAATCAATAACCATCAGTCTGATCTTATGGGACAGTTGAAATTATTATACGGAGTCTGCTTCAACAAAACTCTTATCCAAGAAAACTCTATTCCTCAAAATATCAACAAAACCATTACATAACAAAAGTATATTTTTTTGTATACACATAGTTGAAAGCCAGTATCTCCACATGAGCTAGACAAGTAAATCAGCATAAGCATTGAGTCCATGGCTGTTCATGTTCTACTTAAGCCTATACAATGCCCCGCTCTCTAGCTGCCTTACCCTCTCCTTAGACAGTCCATAAATCTCTCCTATCTCAGACAACGATCTCTGCTTCCCACCATCAATCCCAAACCTCAGCTTGATGATCTTCCTCTCCATGGGACTCAGCACATTGAGTAGATTCCTTACATGGTTCCTCATCATTTGCTTCCCTACGCTCATGTTCGGTGTCTCAATCCCACTGTCTGGTGTCACTTCCTGTAAATGGATTATTACCATGTAATGCTCTTGGTCAGAAGTCACATTTACAAAGTTAAAAGTGTTACCTAAAAGGTGATGTCTTGATCAGACCAAATGGGTTGTTGCATTGATAGAGGTGTTCTTTTATTGTACAGAAGTTTATCAAGCTTCTCTGTTGAGACACCAACTTGGCTTGCGAGTTCTTCTTTGCTTGGACGGTAGCAATGTGTTTGTTTGAGAGCTAACCTGCAATAAGTCATGAAAATTGAGTCCACGATTCTGATACTGTTTAGCTATATGAACTACCACACGCAAGTTTGCAGTGATCAGCTTCTCCCTGCTGCTTCTGCCACGGTGGATTTCAGATTTCAAGACAGGTCCACGTATCCCCAAAGCTTCAGCCCATTCAGCTATTGTTGGCTCATATCCATTTTGAGATTCAAGCTTAGTCTTCACCTTCTCCAACTTTATCAAATGTTGATATATCAAAAGAAGATGGAAGTTAGAATCAATAGGAAGCTCAAAGAAGAAAGGGGAAGGAAGCATGAAACAAGTCAAAGAATTCAATCAAGAAACTTTAACATAACTCAAGAAAGCATTTCAGAGAAAATAAGTGATCCTAAACAGAGTAGCACAAGTCTATAAGGTGTCTACGAGGGAAGCTATCAAAACATCTAAAAACTAAGCCTTGTGAACCAGAAGTACGAAACAAGCTTAAGCTAACCCAATGCATCGAACTATATAATAAAAAATCAGTGTTTCTCTATACAGAATCTAAGACAATGCATCCGAAAATATAATGAACAATCAATGTTTCTCTAAACAGAATCTGAAACCTAAAATAAACAATACACAAATCCAATTTTTAATAGATTTTTCTATGTAGACTATATATTCAGTCTAAATTAATGTAGACCTATAAGACAGTCTACAAATACGTAGTCTGTAGTAAAAGTCTACAAATCCATAGTCTGCAGTAAAATTCTGGGAGCAACCTGCAACAAAAAGAGCCAGAGAAATCAATAAAACACAACACATGCTTGTACACTACAAACATGTATTAACTCATAACACTTCATCAATTTTCGTCAACGACATATGCATTTCAATTTACAGCAAATAAATTGAACATATACAAACCCTAGAACGAAAATTGAACACTTTAATCAAAACAATNGCAACAAAAAGAGCCAGAGAAATCAATAAAACACAACACATGCTTGTACACTACAAACATGTATTAACTCATAACACTTCATCAATTTTCGTCAACGACATATGCATTTCAATTTACAGCAAATAAATTGAACATATACAAACCCTAGAACGAAAATTGAACACTTTAATCAAAACAATAAGAGATGCAGAGACTCTTTGTAAACACATATATAGAGAGAGAGAGAAGGACAGGGAGGAGAGTAATGGTGATGACGAGGAGGAGATGAGGAGGAGACAAGGCGGAAAGTAGTCGTGGAGATGAGGAGGAGACAAGGCGGAGAGTAATGGTGGTGACGAGGAGGAGATGAGGAGGAGACAAGGTGGAGATGACTGAATGATGGGAGAGGATAGTGGTGATGGTCGTGGTGGTGAATGGTGATTCCGAGAGTAAGGTGGATGGGTGTGAAAACGGAGTCGAAGAGGGTTCGCCGGAAATCACCCCTTAAACCGTCTCAGATCTAAACGGCGTGATTATGATTCTTTTTACCAGAAAACCCTAAAAAAGTATTTATATGCCGTGTAATTTTTTCAGTTAGGTTAAATTGGTTAATGTAGACTGAAATAGACGTCTACATATAAGTAGACTTTACTGTAAGTCTACTATACCCTAAATATTGGCGCTAATATGGAAAAATAGGCTCCAAAATTCATTTCCACTTCCCGCTTAGTTAGTTAATTTTAAAATAATTTATTTTGGTAAACACAAATTAACGTAGACTGAAATAGACGTCTACATATAAGTAGATTTTACTGTAAATCTACTATACCCTAAATATTGGCGCCAATATAGAAAAATAGGCTCCAAAATTCATTTTCACTTCCCGCTTAGTTAATTTTAGTTTTAAAATAATTTATTTTGGTAAACACAAATTAACGTAGACTGAAATAGACGTCTACATATAAGTAGACTTAACTGTAAGTCTACTATACCTTAAACCAGAAATCTCAAACCCTAAACCCCAAATCTCAAACCCTAAACGTTTGATTGATTATAAAAAAAATCTTAGTCATTGTACCAAATATCATATATACAAAATATAAACTACTCAACATTAAATATGCAATTTTGAATCATTAAAGCAAAATAATTCTAAATCTAGAATCTAACCCTAAGAATCTAATTCTAAAAGACATAACATGTTAGAACATTTGGTTGATAAACCATTAACATTGTCTACCACATAGTTCCCAAATCAATATACATTCTTTTAAATTGTTCAATTATAAGAAAATTTAATTTATCTACCTCATACTAACCTTTAAATTGATGATTTATTAAAAAAATTACCAAAAACATTTTTTCTACATTTTAAAAATTAAATTATTTGATTAAATTAAGATGTAGACTAAATAATAAGTTTACAGTAGTCTACACAGTAGGCGTTAATGTAAGTCTACCTAGTTGTAGACTTCTTTCTTAAAATGTAGACCTACGAAGGACATAATCGTAAAATATATTCCACGTTTTTTGTTTGTTCATAAGGGTTAAATAGTAGTTTTAACACCCATTTAGGTTAGGTTTGCAATTGATTGAATATGGGCTACACCTTTAGGGTTAAAATGAATATTTGGGTTGGTTTTGGCAATTACCCCATAAACTATTTATTAGTAATGATAATTATCAAATAAATGAAATCATTTTTAATTAATGTCCAATTATATATTAATTTAATTTTAGTTTATGGTTAATTAATATAAATTATTTTTATATAATGATAATTATATAATCAATCCAATTTTTAATTAAGGTTAATTATACATTAATTCGTTATTAATTTATAATTAATTATATATTAATAAATTTAATTATTTATCAAGAATAATAATTAATCATCAGTCAAAATCATAAAAATATGAAAAATAAGTAAAACTATCTAAAATTATAGACAACATGACAATTACGTAAATTTACTTATCAAATAATAATATAAATGTACTGAAAAAGTGAAATTGTAAGAAAACACTTAAATTTAGGGAATTATTGTTTTGTACTTCTATTTTAATAGAATACTAGGTTAATACCCGCGCATTTGTGCGGGATGAAAATTATATATATAAATTATTTTATGTCTTATTCTTTATTTTGTGTTTTTTTATATATTATAAAGTAAAAATATATATATTCAATAATTGAAAAGCTGTAACTATTATATCTACAATCACTTTATATAAGTAAATATAATTAATAAATGATAGTAACATATATATATGAGAAAATGACTAGAATAGCACTAAAAAAAGTTTTTGTCACAAATATAGCAGTTAAGAATAAAAATGACCAAAATAACACTTAATGTTTTATCAAAAAGGATAAATTTACACCTTTATCCCAATAATAAATTAATTTAGACATTAATGTTTAGACTTAAAGGGTAAGATTTAGGATTAAGGGTTTAGAGTTTAGGGTTTAGAATTTAGGTTTTAGGTTTTAGAGTTGGGGAGGAGGGTTTTGGAGCTAAGATTTCAATTTTGTAAAAATCAAAAAAATTTAAAATTTTCAAAAGATAAAAGGCTATTTTAGTCATTTTAGATTTTGAGCGCTATTTTGTGACATAAACTTAGAAATGTGCTATTTTGGAGATTTTCCCTATATATATATATATTATACTTTTAATTTGGATATTGTACTAATAAATGAAACTTCACACTTACATGGTTTTATGATCATTTGTATATTTTTATAGTAAAAATTTTAAAATATTGATAACATCATTTTAATGTGAGAGATATAATATTTACAATAATTTATCATCGTTTAAAAATTTTAAATTCAATACTTGCTCAATGCAATTTTGGAATTAAATATTATGTATTTTTAAATGGTGGTTTATTTTAATTGAAACACCACTAATATATATATACATATAATTTATATATCTATTAAATGATAGTTATCACTCATTAATTATATAATTGTTTTTATTGTGCTATAACAAAAAAATAAGCTATCAATAAAAAATATTATATGTGAAATTTTAAATTTTTTTATTAATTTATAGTCGTTTCTTAAAATTCAAAATATAACATAGATAAAATATCTAATTTTTTGTAATATAGTTAATGGTATTGTTTAATTTATTTTCTCAATATAAATTTAACAAAAATAGTATAGGTTATACAATTTTTTTATCAAATCTTTCATATTCAAATCATTAATTGTCATATATATACATACTAGGTGATTTTCCCGTGCTCATGCACGGGTATAAATATTTATAAAATAAATATACCATAATAATTGATTGATATTTACTTTATATTTAAATTAATTTATAGTTTGTATGTATAATTTATATTAATAATATTATATTGCTTTAATTATATATATGATTTTAGGTATGTTATATCTAGTCAGTTTTGTTATTTTTACGGTTGATTTAGTTATCATTTGGATATATTGGATTCTATTTATTTCTCTTAATTCAACTATAATATATTTTATTCTAAATATATTGATTTTTTGATTAGTTGTTTTATTTGCATTTATGCTGGTTATTATCTTAAAAATATAAGTATATCTTAGTAAGATTGTTTATAACTTTAGATCTTGTGCTTAGAACGAAAAAAATAAAAACTAAAATGTCTTATTCTAAATTACATAAATTAATATAATAATAATATTCTAAAATCTCATGCATATATATAAATTTTACAAAAGAATTAAATTGTAACAGTGAGTAAATATTTTATTTTTCATTCGTTAATATGTTTTAAGTCATCTGATAATTTGTATTTATTAAATAAATAACTATTATTATATAATTATATATTCTTATAAAATAAATAAATTATATGTTCTGATTGTAGTTAAAATCTATGATTTTAGATATAATTTAGAGTAGTCGAATCACTCATGTTGTGCGTATATATATATATTTAAATTCAAACTGAAATATAATTTTTATTATAGTTAACTCAAAGCAAATTAGTTTACTTATTGCTTAAATGTGCATGTATTTTCATAATAGTTATCAAAATATATATTGATTGGTTAAAAAAATATCAGAAAATAAAGTGATATTCAATAGGAAGTTACATACATAAGTAACTAATAAACTTTTGGAAGCTTATGAACACATATCAATATTTAAAATAATTAAAATATTTTATAAATTCTAAATAGTTTTATGCCTAAGATTGATTGGATGGTAAACTGAACTTTATTTAAAATAATTTTAAATAAGGATTCCGATTTGCTTAAGTATTTTGATTATGGTTATATTAAGTTACACAAACATAAAAACAGAAAATTAAAAATCAAAAGAATTATTAAAAAAAACAGATAATTTTAACTATTAAAATATAATATATCTACCTCGCTAAACTAT